AGAATGTATTCTGTGAATGTCATACAATATACAGAATGAATCATTAATGTTTATAATTGTTGGTACTACATCCCCCATAGTAGGAGGTTAGAATACAATGGAGTAAAGTGGGAGAATATATGTCCTTTTTTATCCTGTATGTGATAAAGCGTCTCTCAAAGCATACTCGACTTTGTGCATGTGTCAGTGGAGTGATGTAGGAGGAAGAATTTTCCATGTATATCTTTCAAAAATTTATTTTATGTGAATGCAATTGAAATTGAGTTGATAATTAAAAAAGAAATAAGGAGAGAAGAACAGAGATAGAAACTATTTTAACTGACTGTATTACTCATATTTTTAAAAATAATCCACCCCTCTACCTGCTTTCTTGAGCCCATTCCTCAGACCTCCTACAGTTCTTAATTTGTTGTTGCTTGCCTCCTGCATCAACTCACCTCTTGAATGACTCTTACCTCAGCTGACTCAAATGCTTGATTTTTATCCCAAATAAAATTTGAGAATCCGCCATTGATATCACATTCCCCTCCAATTTTCCTTTAACCTCCCTCCTCTTTTATCTATCAGACTTGTGGGTAGAATAATGTAATGGACATAGTGAGGCTCTTGGGTGCTCTCAAGGACAGCCCCGAAGTGTGGTGGCGCAGCCAGCCTGCCCCTGCAGGTCGGGAGCCATGACTTGGGAAGGGGAAGAGGGACTAGACCACCATCTGACTCAACCCCGAAATTGCAGTGTTAGCCAACACGGATATGATGCTTTTATTATTCATCATGCCAGCCACCATGAGGTAGGCAGACTTACCTCCTTCCCGCTGAGAGGAAACTGAAACTCAAGAAATGTGGACTCAAGATCACAAGCTCATGTGGCCATGGAGGTGCTGGAGGCCAGGCGTTCTCTTGCAGGTTGCTCTGGGGGTTCCTGAACCAAATCTTACTGCCACACCGTGTCCCTCCTCCCCTTTGTGCCCTGTGCTCTAAAAGGACCAAGTGTTGACTGCTAGCCACCATTACCCTCCCGAGTGTGCTCACCTCTCTACCAGGTTCAGGGCCAATTGAGCAAGAGAGGGCAAAACACCTCACAAACACAGGGGTGGCACTTGTTTGTACTATGCCAGGTTGAAGCCAAAATGCTTAATTTGAACTGAGTTGTAAAAAGGTTATAAGTGACAGCTGCACAGAACAGCTCAGTTCCCCTGTGTCCTCAAGGTGAGAAAGAGTGGTTGTTATCCAAACCCTTCAGGGGGGGCCTCCCTGGTGGCGCAGCGGTTGAGCGCTGGGTTGCGAAGCTGCCCACAGCCTCTGCAGTGCCGGTTCGATGCCCGGCTGCTCCCCAGCCACTGGAGGAGGATCCCACATGGCGCGCAGACCTCTCCTGCCGCCCGCTGCTCCCCTCAGCAGTGTGCTTCGGTCCTTCTGCCTGTTCTGCTCCCCGCTCTGGCTCTGGTGAATTCTCTCACCCTCCCGCACTTCTGACTGTACCCAGTGCTTGTATAAATAAATAAATAAAATAAAATAAATCTTTAAAAAAAAAAAAAAAAACCCTTCAGGGGAATTTTCAACCCTCCACTTCCTCGAGGCATTCCTGTTGCAAGAATCTGCATTTGTGGAGGAATGTGGCTTGTGTTTCATGTCATTCCTGTTATGAAAGCAAAGAGCAACCTGTGGGGCAGGGAGTAACTTTCCCTGGGAAAGAAGACTATCTAGCTTTTGAAACTTTTAATTAGGATGGAGCCAAAGGAAACATTCCCTTCCTCCATTGATGACCCCTGAAGTTTCTTGTTGGAGTGCTGAGCCCTGCTGCCTGTTTTACCAAAAAACCAATAAACAGATAGGAATTGAATCTTTAAGAAGCGCAATTATCTAGATCGCTGCCCGGTGGGCTGAGAATGGTGGGCACATCACCCTGAAGAAATCATTCTTTTATTTTTATTTTATTTATTTATTTTAAAAGGTTTATTTATTTATGCACACAAGAGCTGGGGTGCAGGCCAGAGATGCGGGGGGTGAGAGGATTACCAGAGACAGAGTGGGGAACAGAACAGGCAGACTGACTGAAATACACTGCTGAGGGGAGCAGCAGGTGAGACAGGAGAGGTCTGCTGCACCATGTGGGTGGCTCCCTGGCCGCCTGGGGATTGAACTCGCGCTGCAGAGGCCGTGGTACTTAACCCCCTGCACCACCAAGGAGGCCCCATTCTTTTTTTTTTTTTTGTAAGATGTATTTTATTTTTGCATACAAGAACTGGGGTATAGGCCACAGGTGTGGAGTGGTGAGAGCATTCACCAGAGACAGAGTGGGGAGCCTAACAGGCAGATTGACTGAAATACTCTGCTGAGGGGAGCAGCAGGTAAGAAAGGAGAGGTCTGCTACACCATGTGGTTTAGCTCCCTGGCCGGGGATTGAACTAATGTTGTATTGGCTGCAGATAGCTTGATTGTGCTGAGACTTAACTCGTTGTGACACCAGGGAGGCCCTGAAGAAACCATTCTAACATCTCATCTCTAGCTGGCTGCTTTATAATGAGTCTTACGAAAAACAGTTGTAAGTGAATTGATTCACTAGGCCTGCCCATTCTAGTTGATGTTCTTGGTATTGTTTATGTTCTGTTCCAAGAATTTGTTATCGTTTCTGAGTATCGTGGTCTGGTACCTCCAGGGCTGCTTGTTTAATCTTAGTTCAAAGCAAGAGTTTTAGTTTAAAGAAAAGAGATCATTAGCCATTATAGTATGTATGCGCAGCCAGTACTATGTATGTGTGTCCAGATTTCTATACTAAGTAAGGTGACCTTTGGCTCTGTGGCCCTGGGAACTGATCCCAGGGCCTTCCTGGGCAAGGATTCTGAATTTGGGGTAGCTGCTGAGAGATGACAGCTCCAAGCTGGGCGCGACCTCCCGGATAGCAGACCAGACTCCTGGCAGATATCGCTGCTTCACAGGAGACTTAGGCACTGAGGTGTGTGTGTGCAACTGGGGCCAGAAAGAAGGTGTACAAAGCCAGTGAGAGCAGCTCCTGGTGAGTACCATGTACCATGTGTGCACAGGATTCTGGGGACAAGAGTGCAGCCCACCTCAGGGTTTCAGGGCACCCTTCCTGGAGTAGGGACCTCGAAACTGAGCTGACCAGGTGGACAGAAAAGTAAAGGGAATTCTAGGCAATATTTGCTCTACAGATTATTGAATGTGCAGTATGTGCCAGGCACAAGTGAGCATGGAAGACCCCAGGAGAGTGTGGGGTCCCATCTGAGGCTGTGAGCAATTTAATCTTTCTGGACAATTGCATTCTGGAAGTGACAGTGATGAGCTGGAGAGGTAAGGTGCTAATTAGAAGGCTTTAAGTTGTCTTAATTCTTTTAATTATAGACTGCTTGTTTCCCCAATACTGGGTCTTGTTTATGTGTCTTATCTATATATTAATTTTTCTTTATTTTAACAATGGGATTTTATTTTGAGGACTAATTAGTTTTTACAGTCATTAAGTAAATGAAAGACAAACACTTCATTTTCCTATCTCATAAGTTTTTTTTTTTTTAAAGATTTATTTATTATTTATTTATTTATTTATACAAGCACTGGGTACAGTCAGAAGCACGGGAGGGTGAGAGAATTCACCAGAGCCAGAGCGGGGAGCAGAGCAGGCAGAAGGACCAAAGCACACTGCTGAGGGGAGCAGCGGGCGGCAGGAGAGGTCTGCGTGCCATGCGGGACCCTCCTCCGGTGGCCGGGGAGCAGCCGGGGATCAAACCGGCACCGCGGAGGCTTCGGGCAGCTTTGCAACCCAGCGTTCAACCGCTGCACCACCAGGGAGGCCCCCTATCTCATAAGTTTTAACCAAAAAATAAAATCATAGATCTCAATGCCAGATAAATACTAAAGGAAATTAAATATAAGACAGACTAGATCATATGCCCCTCTGATGATGATGCTCCTTGCATGTGACTCTCTCAAAAAGGAGGAAATGGCAGTGGAGGTAACTAAGATAATAAGATGAGGGGCTGGAATCTTGTAATCACCAAATAAGTCCAAAGATTAAATAATAATTTTTGCTCAACATTCACAGCAAACTGTATAGTTTTTACTGATGGAAGCACATAAGTTACACTGAACATCACAAATGTAAATATGGTTCCTCTAAAACAGAGCAGCTCTTAGAGTTTACAAGAGCGGATTGTTAAATGGATAGGAATCTTACGGGTTGTTCACTAAAGCAGCACTTAAACAATTGTACTATATCAATTTACAAATGAATAAGTTATATTAAAAATGAAGGTAATATTAAAAATTACTACATCTGTCCTTAAGGTGATTGATGATTATGCTTCTGTAGGATGGAAATACAATATAAAGGCCTTTACTATATAATATGATGAATAACAAAAAGCTACATTGTCCCTTTCCATCTCTGTGTTCATTGACATCATGTCGGTAGTTCTATGGCTGTCACGTGGGCATATTTGTAGCACAGCATACAGCAGACTTTGCAAAGCAGGGCTCCCACTTCCCCCTCCTGCACCACACCAGGGAAATTGTTGTTCAATATGTACTTGTCACAGATAAGGAAAGAGCAGTTTGAGGCTCAAAAGGGACCCACTCCCTGCCTCACTGGCTCTGCCCTGGCCATGCTCACCTCTCCCACCTGGAGACCTTCCCACCCACAGTAACCTGGACCTTCAAGTGCTCCCTCAGCACCGGACACCTTCCCCAGGCCTTGCCACCACCCCTGACCATGTGTTTCCTGGCCGCCCTCCCCCTCCACCAGTCTCTCCTCATCTCACTCCACCATCACCAGTGTAGCTCATTTCAGTGAACTCAGGAGTCTCTGAAGTCCCTGTTTGTAGGTCAGTCCTCACGGGAATGTAGCATCGCGAGACTAGGGAGGTTGCCTGTCCAGGCCCTGTGAGAGGCACATAGCAGCTGTTCGATAAGTATTTGTTGAGAGAATGAATGAACCAGTGAGGAAATGAATGGGCTTCTCAAGGCCCTTCTGAATAGAAACTGCTCAGTTTATGCACATCATGCCAGGGCTGGGGGAGGGGAGAGGTTAAAAGAGGGGGAGGGCCACCTCTAGTTCTGTGCTATCTGCTGGAGTCGGGTGCCAGGTTCTAGTTCTGGGGGCTCCCTTCAGCCTGGGCCTCCCTCCAGGCGTCTCGGACCTTGATCTTCACTTTGAAAGGTTCGATCAGAAAGACCACATTGGGGATACCTTCCAGAGCAGGCATGTGTCCATCGTCTGGGACCTCGAGGTCAAACCTCTGCAGTAACCAGGCCATGAAGAGGAAGAGCTCCCTGCGGGCCAGCATCTCCCCTACACATGTGCGTGGTCCCGCTCCAAAGGGCAAGTAGCTTAAGGATGGTGAGATGAGCTGGTTCCCTGTTGGGTCCAAGAAGCGCTCTGTGGACAAGGGAGGCAGCCATGAGTCAGGGGGCCGGACAGGAGAAAGCAGAGGCGTGGCCAGGTCCCAGAGGGCAGATGGGGCCCTGTCCAGGCAACCCTAGCTTGGAAGGTGGACAACCTTACTTGAGGGACCCTCAGGCTATTCTCAGGTTGGCCTCAATCACTCACAGGAAATGGAATGTCAGGAGGATGGAAAGAGGCAGTGTTAGCAGGTTTAAATGCCACCCCTCAGTGGGCTAGGGTGTGTTTGGGGGGGCCCATGTCCCCACAGCATTTTGAGAAGAGAGATTGTAGTTAGTGCCAGGGACAGGAGGAGTCCAGTGTGAAGTTTGGCAAGTCTGGGGGATCAGAGAAATGTCAACTGGTACAAGTGGTTGTCACCCAGAGTTTTCCAGTAGCGAGCCTTGCAGGGGCGAAGCCAAGTAGTCAGAGGAGCACAGAGAGCAGGCTGGCTGTTTGGCTCTGGAGCATGACAGGACAGACACTCACCAGGCATGAACTTGTCAGGCTGGTCCCACTCCTTCTCACTCTGATGTAGCGCCCACATATTAATGATGACATCTGTGCCCTTGTCAATGGCATAACCACCGATGCTGCCCCAGAGAGGGAGAGGAAGGGGTTATGGAATGTTGTGGCTCCCACCTGCTCAGCCCCAAGCCTGCACAGTCTGCTCCCTGGCGAAGAGATAAGTAGCCTCTCCTCCCTCACCCCTAATGCCTCACCTTTTCCTTAACTTCTGCCAGATCCATATGCATCTAGCGCTTCTCCAGCCCACTGTGCCTGACTACCACTTGTGTATGAACCCTGTGGAGTGGGTGCATGAATGTCGGGGCAGGTGGGGATGCATCTGAGCTGGTGCACATCTGTGTGTGCCTGAGGCTGCTGGACTGGGCTGAGGAGAGAGTACCCAGTCTTATCCAGACCACGTGTCTCCAAGGACAGCGGGCCACCTCTGAGGGAGGTCAGTAACCTAGGACTGTGACTGGGTGTGAGTCTGATGGATCCATTAATGGGTATGCTCATGGGTAGGCTGATTGATACTCAGTGATGGACCATCAATTGATCAGCAAGCTAAGGGGACCAGGATGAAAGAGGTACTGGGCAATGGGAAGATGGCAAGATAGGGACCCAAATCATTGCTCAGATGATGCTGAATGCATCATGGGATGGGGTGATATAGGCAGGAAGGCACACCTGGAGTTGACGACAGCCCTGTGGGGCAGAAGCAGTGGGGATGCAGGCCTGATGCGCAGCACCTCCCTGATGGTGGCCTCCAGGAGGAGGAGATGGTTGCGGTCACTGAGAGTTGGTGTGCGGCTGAAACCTACATTCTGATCAATCTCCTCCTGGATCTTCCTTTTCAACTGTGGGCCAGAGAAGGTGGATGTGACAACAGGCTCAAGCCTGGCCTTAGTGAACCTATTGCCACATCCAGTAGAGAGAGTCACACGCAGTGCATTTGTGAATGTGCTACCCACACCATTGTTCCAGAAGGTATAGGTCCTCCCGAGGGCAGAGCCAAGCTCTGCTCATTAAGGACTGCATCATGAGTCTTTCTGCAATGAAGTTCTGACGGTTCTGCCTCTCTGGAAATCAGGAAAAGAGTTTGGGCTGGCTGGGATCAAGGGTGTTTAGGAAGAATGGAATGAAGGGAAACCCACCTGAGGGTAATGCAGCAGGAAGGCCACAATCCACTGCAACATGGATGTGGTGGTCTCCACACCGGCCGCAAAGATGTTCCCGATGGTGATGAGAATGTGTTTATCTGAAAGCAGCTTTGAATCCCGGCCTGGTTCTGCATTGTTGTTGTCTGAGTTCATCTGAGCTTGGATCAGCACGTCCAGCATGGTAGTGATACAGTCGCTGCTAAAGTTCTCCTGGTAGGTGAGATTGGAGACAGTGTTGAGGGCAGAGCCCCGTCTAAAACCTACTTTCATCCCAGAGTGGAGGTTCCAGTCGGTGATGAGGGAGCACAGTACCTAGGTAGGACCTATGAGATGTGGAGTTAGGAGGCAGCACTGGGCCCTCCTCAAACTTTGGGCTTAGGGCTAACTTTGGGCTAGAATCCTTAGTTCCTCACTTCCCCACCCCCATGATGAATTGAGTCCATCTCCATTGGTGACTACTGTGTGCCAGGCACTGGGAGGTGGGGAGAGCCCAGTGTCCAGCATCGACCCAATGTTCTTACGCGTTCAACATGACTCATAATCTCTTCTGCTCCAGCTCCTACCTTGTATTTTTCAATGATTTCAGTCAGGAATTCATTTCTCATTTTAACACATTTTCTCATCTTTTCCAGGTTTTTGTTGGGGAAAACCTGAAAAGTAGACAGAAGAATCAAATCCTTTCCTCTTCCACTGTCCTTTTCCTGCCACACAAATCTCTCCTGGCATGACTCTGTCTGCCTACTCCCCTAGGCCTTAAGCAAAATGGCGGCAAGATAGGGCCCCAAATCGATGCTCAGATAAGTAGGACAGTATCCATGATGGGAGAAGGGAGTTTTTCACTTCCTCTTCCTCATTCAATCAAACATCAAGACTGAGTGAGATGTACTTAAGATGTACTTAGTACATCTGCCACGTGCCCAGCCTTTAGGAATAAGGGAGAGGGGTTCTGAAGCCTGGGCAAGTTCCTTGACTTCTCAAATCTTTCTCTGCTGGATGAGAGTAATGAAATCTACCTCCAGGGGCAATGTATTCATTGTGTACAGGTGGAAATGGCAGTGTATACCTCAATGAGAACCATGTATTATGATTCTTAAAATGCATCATTAAAATGCTATGTCTTTCTTTTTTTATATTCAAAAGAATAGGTTTATCCTAAAGGCAGAGAAGAGTAAAGGACCCTTGCACAGCACAGGGGCAGAAAGAACTGCTCAAACACTATTTCTGCTTATGAAGAGAAAGTACAAGGTTTTAAGTGCCTATGGAGATAGATGTCACTGTGGCTTGGTGGTCAGGAGTAAGTTGTGTCTGGAGCCCAGGAGTACGAGTTAAGACCTGGGGATCAGCCTAGGGGTTAAGTCTCAGCCCTATCACAACTGTGGCCTGAGTCAATACTGGCCAGAGAGGTAACCCACATGGTGCAGCAGGCGTCTCCTGTCTTGCCTGCCACTCCCCTTAGCAGTGTATTTCAGTAAATCCAGCTGTTCTGCTCCCCATTCTGTCTCTGGTGGATCTTCTCACCTTCCACATCTCTGGCCTGTACCCCAGCTCTTGTTTGCATGAATAAATAAATCTTTAAAAAAAAAGAAGTCTTGGGGACCATGTCAGTTTCTGCTGACATCTGAATGTGGGACCTGGTCTCATCCTCACCTTCAGGATGGGGAATATGTCTACCATAGAGTTCTGGCGCAGAGTATCCATGATTCCATTGTTGTAATTCTTAATGATCTTGAGCTCAGGATCACCATTCTTGTAGGTAATGTTGAAGCAGATGAAGCACATAATGTTGGTCATCGCCAGATAGATAGGCAAGGACAAATCTACAGACTGTCCATCTTGGGTGGCCAGGAAATCAGACAGTAATCTGATTTGCTGACAGACTAAACAGGGACAAGAACATAAGGGTGGTGAATGAAGCAATACTTTGAACCCCTGTCTACCTACTCCATTGAACCAGAGAGAGCAAGAGAACCAGAGAAGAGGACATGCCTGCAGGAGAGAGAGCCCTTGTGTGCTAATGGCCACTAGATGGCAGCAGTGATGCAGAAACTGCTAGAATGAGCTCTTCAAAACCCTTTACCCCATAGCTTTGGGCCCAGTCTGGTACTCACTGATGTCATCCAGTCTCTTGTTGCCGTCTTTGAACAAAGCAAAGGAAGCCTGTGCCAGTTTCCGATGCAGCTGCCACTGGGCACCATGGTCGGCAAAGAAAATGCCCTTTTGGTTGTCAGAAAGGATGCTTTGAGTCACCTTTAGAGAGGAAGAAACACAGTAGGAAGCAGATATCATCTACCTAGCTTGCCTTGTGCCTCTAGCACCTATTCCCCTTCCCAAGGGAGAACACAGGTACCTGCCAAGCTGCTCCCCCTCCCCCCATGTGGGGCTTCCCTGGTCCGCTCCACGGTGACTGTGAGGCTTGGTAAGGCAGGTCCAAGCCCCCGTTCCAGCACCCCCCACTCCCTGCCCCCAACCGACAAAACCCTGGCTTTGAATCTAAGGGTCTAGTGATTTAGTTTAATGACAGGTTGACTTTTGGGCCTGTCCTTTGTGATTGGTTTCTTCCCTGGGGCAAGAGCTGGGGCTGGACAAGCTCTCTGAACTGTGTTTCTTGGGGACTGGAGAGGGGGGGCAGGCAGGCCAGTGGAAAGCAGGACTGTCCAGGTTCTGCCTCTTCTGGGCCCTACGCGAGTGCTGAAGGCGCATCAGCTCATCTCTTTCTGTTTATCTTTGCATGGCAAGTCTGCGTGCCATGGAAATTTGGCCACCACAGCCAAATCTGAGAAGAGCAGGAGTCTGGTATACCCTCTGCTCGGGGGGCAAGGCACCATCTCCAGAGGTAGCCCCCTCCCCAGAAGCATGAGGGTTCAAAGCTTTCCTTCTTCTACCCTCACCCACTAGCCCCATCAGATCTCTTTCTTTTAGGGAGAGAAGAGCTCAGAATAGTCGGGAGTGAGGCAGTTGACCCACTGAGCTGGCTGACTGATGCAAGCAAAGAAAGGCAAGTCATCAGTCATCCCGATCAAAGATGGGAGTCTGGGTTCCTGTCTGGGTGTTCAGGTAAGCAGTGAGCTGCAGGGTGCTAGGACGGGGCTCTGGCAGTGTTTCTGGATCTCAGGCCCCTCCTCTTCCCCTAGAAGCACCTGAGTGAGCTCAGTAGGATGCACCATTCAGCCCTGAAATGCTACCATGGGTCAGACCCTGTGAGCTGGAGCAGCTGCAGACAGATCCAGGGAAGTTGCACCCTGTCCTCCCAGGGCCCGGCTTTTCGGCTTTTCCCATCCCCCTTCCCATGGAGAGAGTGAGCACTATGCCCATCTTGCACATGAAAAGGAACTTCATAAAGACTGTTTTCTGAGCATTTACTAAGCTGGATACCGGCCTCATTGCTTCATTAGCACTGTCATTAATTAGGGAAGTGTTGGCTGAGAGACATTATCATCCAGTTCAGGGGCAAGATGCGTGGAGTGAGGGCTCCACTCTGCCCATGCCAGGGCTGCTCAGGGTATGAGAGTTCCTTTCATCCTTCCTGCCTGGTTAAGTCACTGAATGGGGTCTGAACTCACTCCCCACCCACAGCCAAACCACAGTGTCTCTGGAGGAATTACAGGTATTGTGGACTGGTCTTGGCTGAGACCCGCACAACCCCAGGGGATGGTGAGAAAGGAGGCACAGGGCACAGCTTACCAATTGGGGCCGCCCGGTGAAGTCCTTGCCCTTCTTGACCAGCACCTCCCTGGCCAGCTCGTGCTCCCCGACGATCACTGTATTCTTGCTTCCCATATGAAGGGAATAGATGGGGCCATATTTTCTCTGCATCTTGAAGAAGTTCTCATGCTGATGTCCATGTCTGGGGAGGAAGGGAAGGCTGCCCACCAAGGGCAGGGCTGGGAGGCTGTTGGGGTACTTGGCACCAGGGGACTTGCCCTTGGGCCAGAAGAAATAGGCCAGGGTGAGTAGCAAGAGAGGGAGGAGCTCCCACATGGTGGCAGGCTGGGTGGCACTGTGGGTGGAACATCCGCAGCCACTTAGGGTCTATGGAGGACTTTTAAAGGGTTGACCTGACCTCTGGAATTTTATGATGTCATGAAATGTGGAAATTTATCCGGGAGCACAGGCAGAGCTGAGTCCTCTGTCAGAACAGGGAGGGGGTGGGGATAGATATTGTCGCCAGATCACCTCAGTTTTCAACAGAAAATGCACCTGGGCTAAATAATTTTGGAATAAGTTGAATGAAATCTAAGCATTGTTTTGCATTCCCTCTTCAGAATTAACTTTTTGCTCATTGAATTGCACCCTTATTCCTTCCTGATCATTAGATTTAGACTTTACCTGCACTTCTGGGAACCTTGAAAGTCAATTGTGTTACATCCCTAATATCTCGGAGAATCTCTATGTCTCTTTGAGTTGATAGTGGTATCAGAAACGAGCCTCAGTTGATTGCCAAGAAAATATGCTCATGGAAAGTCAAACTCCCTGACTCCTGTCACCTAGACTTAGCTGGCACCTCCTGGGACTTAGAAATGTGGAGCCGTGACTTCCCTCACCATCCTTTGCCCCTTATAAATTTCCAGCAACCCCCAACCAGCATTAAGGGTGTTGGTTGATTTGGGGTGCCTGTGCCTCTGACTTCCTTGATGATATCTCAAATAACCATTAGTCACATACATGTAATTCATCACGTACAGATAATTCCCCTGAATCAGAATTTGGTTTTCATCGCTTCTCGGCCTTTTGGCTAAGATCAAGTGCAGAATTTGGTTTTCTGGGCGCTAGTGAAATACACTCTTTGGTTGTTTATAGATACCTCTGTGGTGGGGCCTGAACTGGGAATGTGTCCCCTGCCTTAGAGCTACCATTGTACAGCTCTCCGGCCATGATGGTAGTTGTGTGATACTTAGGGAGATAATTCTCTTGCCTCCAAGGTTGCTGATAATGTCAGTGCCTGAGGAGCACCTGAGGTTTTAATTGATAGCACAAAGAGAGACACTACCAGCAGTATTTTCATCATTTCCTGAATTACAGCCCCTAGACACACTGGCACCTTCTCTACTTGAGAGAGAAGAACCCGCCCTGCTCCTGCATGTTCCCACACCCTTTTTCTCCTCCATAGTCTTCCTTCACTTGCCACTTGGGAGGCAGCCTTTTCCAAGTACTGACTCTGCTGCCCTCCCAACCAGTGCCACTTGCTAATAAAGCACCTCTTTGCTGGGAACACCTTCGTGGTCCAGGGATATGACCTGCTTTGTTTGGTAATGCCGTCTCAGCAGTGGCTCAAGTCTAAGATACAGACAAGGTAGAATCTAGGTACGGGACAGTGGCTGGTCCTCCCTCTTGGAGCTCCTCATTTGTCAAGGTCCCTAGGTTGTCCAGAAGCAAATAATATCTTGGTCAGGAATCAGGTTTGGGACTTTTCATGTTTGAAAATCAAAATCAGGAGCCTCCCTGGTGGCGCAAGGGGTTATGATGCAACCTGTGAAGCTATCCACAGCCACTGCAGCACTAGTTCATTCCCAACCAGGGAGCTACCCACATGGTGCAGCAGACCTCTCCTGACTAGCCCGCTGCTCCCCTCAGCAGTGTATTTCAGTCAATCTGCCTGTTCTGTTTCCCACTTAGTTTCTGGTGAATCCTCTCACCTCCCATACCTCTGGCCTGTGCCCCAGTTCTTGTATGCATAAATAAATAAATGTTTAAAAAAAGAAAATCAAAATCACTGGACAGATGACATTTTTGAGGGTTATAGCCAAAGGAGACTGTCAAAGTCATTTTATGCAATTTTATAATTTAACAGGTAGAGAAAGTATGGCCTTTAAAGGTCAGGCTTATAGAAGGTCCTACAAGATAACGACAGCAAGAAGCCAGGTGTCCTAACTCCTGGTTTGCTGCTGTCTCCATAGGCAATTGAGCCAGGGGTTGAGAGCATAAGCCCTAGAGTCAAAGAGGCTTGGGTTCCAATTCTCACCTGGTCTCTTTCTATTTATGTGATCTTGGATGAGTATCCAAGAACTTTATTATATTGAAAGCTCCATGGCAGAATGAGAGGAGTAGATTGGCCTGGCCCCTTTGGACTTCCATTCTGGCTTCCAGTTGGGTGCAAGTGACAGACTCTATGATTCTGAAAGGATGAAAATGTCAACATAGAAATAAGGCCTCTGTGTCACTGTCCGTTACAGCAACCTTCAGAACACTAAGTTGTGTCCTTAGGTCATCAGCATAGACCTCCCCTAGGCCTTCAGCACACTGCCAGCATTCCCTGCTGATTTTCTTTAGGAGGATGAGTCATGGAGATACCACCCAGGCCACCTGTTCCACCCCGGGGCACAGGCACCTTGTTAACAAGGACTGAGATAACCCCAGGACATGAGCAGTCTTGCAGAAGCAGTGAACAGCAGCTTCTCCTCAAGATGCCCTCAGAAAATCCCTACTCGAACTCAAGACTTGAGGTGGTTTCTTTAGAGGTTGAGCCCATCTCTTAGATATACCAGTTTTCAGAGTCCACCTAGGTCTCCTGACGCCAGCTCTACTCTGTGTTTGGCTTCGGAGTGATGGGAAGCAGGGGGGGCTTTGGACAAAATTCTTCAGCCTCCTCACTCATGGAGTCTGCAGTCTCAGACCATTGCAGGAGCAGTGACATTTCATAAGGCACTTGATCCTGGACAGAAGCTCTTTCTGGACAAGGTGAGAGAATAATATCAGGTTGAACTGGAAGGAGAACTGCAAAGGTTGACCAGCTTCACTTTGAAGAACTGAAATTTGTAGTCATTGAAAAATCAATCTTGAAGAAATGATGTGGCACTTATCTGGTAATTTGCGCTAGATTTGTTAACAACTACTCAGCCTAATCAGAATAACATACCTCTCACCAGAATGAAATGTTCTTTTATTCTGATTCACAATAAGCAATTTTGGGTTGAAAAACTATAAAAGTAAAGTAGACGTAAAATATTTACTATTTTAACTCTCTTTAGGAGAACAAGTAGTCACTTTAACTATACTCACAGCCTCCACAGTGTCTACTGCCAAGTCATTTTCCTCACCAAACAGAAAGTGTACCTATTCAATAGTAATTTCTCTTTCCCCCTCCCTTCTCCCTCGTTACCTCTAACCTTCTTGGTTCCTGTGAATGTGCCTATTTCACACAATGGAAACCATATAATTCATAACCATGTAATTCATCACGTGTGTGTGTGTGTGTGTGTGGCTTATTTCAATTGCTATGTTTCATTAGTATATTTTATCCTTGTAGTAGCCTGTATCAGAACTTCATCTTCTTTATGACTGTATAATATTCCACGATGTGGCTATGCTATCCCTTTTTTATCCATTCATCAGTTGCTAGACACTTAGGTTGTTGCCACCTTTTGGTCTTATAAATCACACTGCTATGATTATGGATGCCCATGTACCTTTCTGAGTACTAGTTTTTAATTCTTTTGAGTGTATGGGTAGGAGCAGAATTGCTGTTTATGTTTACTTAAGCTTACTTATGTTTGTTTCATCCTCTGGGAAATGGGCACAATAATGGCACTTGCTGCTCAGGGCTGTGATTCAGTGAGGGAATGCATGTGAAAATTCCGCCTGGAAGAACCAGTGCTCCTTTCCTCTTATCATTAGTTACTCTTCTTATTATGCCCAAATGGCTCTCTACTTTTCCTGAGATCTAACCAGCAGATCTTCCTGACACAAAACATGCCGATTATCTCTGAAGACCTTCTGTTTCTGAGTCAGTTATGATCGCTGATGCAATGTTGCCAGATGAAGTCTTGGCCCCAGGGGATGAGCCCCCTGGTGCCAGTCATCACAGAAGAGGTGGGTCCTCAGACAGACACCCAGTCCTGAGACTGACAGAGGGGGAGCTGGAGTTTCTGTCTCTGTCTGGCAGTGGCCTTCCAGTGTCTGTACTTAGCAGTGTGGGGAATGGAGTGAGGCCCACTGGACTAGGCAAGAGGGCAGCAGGAGGGGACCTGTAATGATGATGAGCCTTGTAAACTAGACTGCCTGGTCGCTCATTACTCCACAAATTCAAGTGTGGTTGTGACTATTTGGGCAAGTTGTGGTCAGATTAGGGACTGGGGTGGTGAGAAAAGCCATCATGACAGATGGGGGTTTTGAGTTAGACATGGAAAAAGCATCCGTGGTTTTAGGCAGAGGTGTGGGCAGTGTGGAGGAAGGAGCCTCATGAAGGGAGAAGGCAGAGTCAAATATGAGGAGGCAGGAAGGGGTCTGGTGCATGTAGGTTGGTGATGGTCCTGACTGCAAGGACAAGTGGGGGTGTTGTGGAGCATCCCTGAGAAGTTAACAGAATGTGACTCCAGAGCCTTGAATTCATACTAAAATCTTCTATGAGTCCCGCTACCATTGTATCCCGGATGCTTTTATTATTCACCATGCCAGCCTCCATGAATTAGGCTGTCTCACCTCCTTCCCACTGTGAGGAAACTGAAACTCAAGAAATTGTGGGCTCAAGATCATAAGCTCATGTGGCCATGGAGGTGCTGGAGGCCAGGTGTTCTCTTGCAGGTTGCTCTGGGGGGTCCCTGCACCAAATCTTACTGCCAATGTGTCCCTCCTCCCCTTTGTGCCCTGTGCTCTGAAAGGACCCAGGGTTGACTCCTAGCCTCCATTACCCTCCCGAGTGTGCTTGCCTGTGGTCTGCCAGGTTCAGGGCCAATTGAGCAAGATCCTGCTTGGAAGAGAGGGCAACCATCCGCAAATACAGGGGTGGCACTTGTTTGTACTACCCCAGGTTGAAGCCAAAATGCTTAATCTGAACTGAGTTGTAAAAGTTACAAATGGCAGCTGCACAGAACAGCTCAGTTCTCCTGTGTCTTCAAGGTGAGAAGGGGTGGTTGTTATCCAAGCCCTTCAGGGGAATTTTCAACCCTCCATCTCCTCCAGGCACCCCTGTTGCAAGAATCTGCATTTGTGGAGGAATGTGGCTTGTGTTTCATGTCATTCCTGTTATCAGTGCAAAGGAAACC